TCACTACCATAGTGTGCATCCCTGTTCTCCATTTATTATCTGTAAGTCATGCAGCCCTCATCTGTAAAATGGAGTAACAGTACCTACTTCAGGGGCTATTATGAAAGATTAAATGAGATTATTCATAGGCGTCCCTAGAATAGTATCTGTAACATAGTGAGTTCTCATATTCTTAGTAGTAATTTTTATTACTTTGTAGATGAAGATAATCTCCTTCACCAACTGCCCTACTCACTATCACCTCTAACTTTAACTGTCTCTGTTGCCCAGACCCAAAGGAGGAGATAAAAGAAAATGGAAAGTTAGTATTTCAGGACTTTTTTCTGTAGGTATTTGAACTCTAGCTCCAAGGAGGGTGTGCCATAATTGTGGCAAGATAATTAACCTTTAAAATGCTTTCTTCCTACTCTTTCTTGTCCTCACAAGTAGGCTGTTCCCATTCAGGCAACTAAGCATTTATACTAGTGAAACCCTGTTGAGTGGGATGGAGGTGAGGGATGATAACTGAAACTTCATAGGCAGTTTGGGGGAATTCAGAATAAATGGGTCATTTCTTCCAGGTTTTAATGAGAGGCATAAAGACAGCAAGGTGGCAGAATCCCAGTTTCCCATACCCAAGTTTGTAAAGAGCAAAAAACATGTGTCATGTGACTAAGCAAATAGCCCTGGGTAGCCTCACAGAGTTCCCCGTGCCATGTTACGAAGAGGGAGCAGCAGAAGCATCCTAAGCTCTTAGCTGGGCAGGGAAGCAGAATTTCTCCTGGTCCGCAGCACCACTAGGATGTTTCCCACTGTTGCAGAAACTACGCGGTCTGGTTACCAGAACTCATTCTTTTTCCTCCTGGGCAAACAGCTAAACTACATTTCCTAGCTTCCCCTGCAGTTAGTTGGAAAAAATGGTACTGACTTTTAAAACCTACATAAACCTCCACATGCAGTCTCTTCCCTTATCTGCATGTTGTGAACGTATATGAACCAGCAGGGGACATACGATTCTAGAAAATGCAGAGTCACTGAATCAGGGGTTCTTACCCTGAGATTTAATAATAGAATTTAGGAGATTATGACCTTGGATTTGGAACAAAAAAATCTGTATTTTCATTAACCTCTAACTGAAACTTAGCATTTCCTTCAATTATGAATATAGACACCAATGCACAGGAGTACTAGCATGACTTGTGGCTTTGTCACCAACAAAAATACCTAAATCATAGGTATTTACATATTATATTACAGCTGTTGAAGGTCTCTCAAAATATCATTTACAACCAAATTTTCCTTGAACAGTAATTACTAGACCCACTGCTTGATTTTTAAATTTCATATGATAATGAAGAGGCATATACATAACAAATTTATTTGAAAATAGCTTGATAACTGTATTTCAATAAAACTGATTTCCTTTGAAATCCCATATGATTTGTCTGCCCTATAAAAACAATTTTCTTAGGGCGCCTGGGTGGCTCAGTTGGTTAAGCGACTGCCTTCGGCTCAGGTCATGATCCTGGAGTCCCTGGATCGAGTCCCGCATCGGGTTCCCTGCTCGGCGGGGAGTCTGCTTCTCCCTCTCCCACTCCCCGTTTGTGTTCCCTCTCTCGCTGTGTCTTTCTCTGTCAAATAAATAAATAAAATCTTTAAAAAAAAAAACAAAAAAACCAATTTTCTTAGAAAAGATCCTTAGGCTTCACTAGATTGCCAGAGGGGTTATGGAACAAAACAAGTTCAAACAACTGTTCTAGATGGATTCCTGGATGACTTTATGGAGCAGGGCCTGCTTTTCCTCTCCCCTGCATATCCCCACCACACTGCTGACCCACACTGGACTGTGATGTCAGAAATAAGCTGGTATTCTGTTAACTTACTGAGATTGGGGGTTATTTTTTACGAACAGTTAGCCTACAGAGACTAATCCCCTTCCTACCAAAATGGCCCAAACATGGCAGAGTATAGAGACCTTACGAGGCCTCTGGGTAGAAAGGACCCAGAAGTGAAGAGTGAGACCAAAGATCAGATGTGGCCAATGAAGATGACTTGGCAGATATCGACCTGGAAGGATAGTGATGCTAAGTACAGGAATCATCTCCTTCAATTTAGAAATAAAGTTCAATAATAGTAACATAAAGAAACATTTCAATTATCCCTGAGTTTGGACTCTGAGATTTATAACTGTCACACAATAATTTTCTTATTTCATATTATTTATTATTTTCTCTTCCCCTATTAGGGTGGCAATCATTTTTGTTTTTCATAGCAGGTATTAAGTGCATTTGAATTCATCAAAGTATATATACATATATATAACATACATGTAAATATATATAATATAAAATACATAAATAACAAAATATATGTGAATATATATAATTTATTCATTATTTTAAAGCAATCTTCAATTAGCTCGGTTCTACTTAAGATCCTTCTTAGCTATGGTGTAACAACTGAAGAGGAGCCAGTAACCACAAAGATGAGATCAATATTACATAAGTCCTTCTATATGGGGATTTGAAGATTGGTTATTTTTTTAAAGGCTTGTTGATTTAAATAAAATAGTCTTGACAGAGCCTCTCAAGGTTTTTTTTTCCTGCTTTTTTTATTTTGATTTATATTTATTTAATTTATTTTAATTTAATTTATATTTAATTCCAGTTAGTTCACATACAGTATTATATGGGTTTCAAGCGTACAGTTTCAACACTTCCATACATCACTCTGTGCTCATCACAGCAAGTGCACTCCTTAATCCCCATCACATATTTAACCAAACCCCCACCCCCCTTCAGGGTTTTTAAGGCAGATATAAATTTGACAACACTTCTTTTAAGACATTAAGTTTTGTTTAATTTTACCTTCCTTTTAGATTGTTTTGTTGCCTTTAACTTAACCTTTGACTAAATGAATCAGTCATTTTGAAATGTTCAGGTTGTTAAAAACCAGATGCAAAGACTCCTCTGAGGTTACACTCTTTCTAACCTCCATGAAATTACTCTATCTAAATTTTTATAACCTATGGAACTATACTTGAATAAAATAGGGTTAGTGTGCAATACAGTTTGGGCTTCAGCATTAAAAGGTGTAAAAAATACAGTATATTTATTCTTACGTGTTATATAATGGGGGCCCCTGGGTGGCTCAGTTGGTTAAGCACCTGCCTTTGGCTCAGGTCATGATCCTGGGGTCCTTTGAGCCCCGCATCGGTTTCCCTGCTCAGCAGGGAGTCTGCTTCCCCCTCTCCCTCTGCCTACTGCTTTCCCGGCTTGTGACCTCTCTCGGTCAAATAAATAAATAAAATCTTTAAGTATTATATAATGTAAACATCAACCTGTCCAGATCATGATTATATACCAACTCCAAGCCTCATGCCTGGCAAGTAAAAATTTTTAAGAATGAGTAAATCAAACAGCATTTATTTTAACTATATACAGTGTCTATCACTCATGACTGGACTTTGTTATGAGAAAGTTCCCTTTTTCACATGTGAGGGTAAGGTGACAGGTTTAGAAGTTAAAGTTTCTAAATTGACAGTAGCTCATTGATCCTTGAAATTCTTAAGGTGTTAGAAAGTCCTGTATTTAAATAGCCTTTTAAAACTACTTTTTAGGGGCACCTGGGTGGCTCAGTCGGTTAAGCGGCTGCCTTCGACTCTGGTCATGATCCCAGAGTCCTGGGATCGAGCACCGCATTGGGCTCCCTGCTCAGCAGAGAGCCTACTTCTCCCTCTCCCTCTGCCTGCCTCTCTGCCTACTTGTCTCTCTATCTCTCTGTCAAATAAATACATAAAATCTTAAAAAACAACAACAACAACAACTACTTTTTAGTGGCTGCTTAGTATTAGCATTAATGTGTATTAGGAAGTGTAATAATTGTTTTTGTTAACTTTTCATGTTAATTTTCACACATTCAAAAGAGTAAAGAATAGCATAATGAGCACCCCAAGTTCCAACCTGAAACCCCCCCCTTGCCAACTTCAACAATTTTCATCTGTTGCCATTCTTATTTTATACATTTCTCGCTCCCCAACTTTTTCCCTCTCTTTTGCTGGAATATTTTAAAGTAGATCTGAGACCTCATTTTCTTGCACCTCTAATTATTTCAGTAAGTATCTCTAACAGATAAGGACGTCAAAAAATACAATACCATTTCGCTCACCAAGCAAAATCACTGACAATTCCACAGGCGGTGCTCACAAATTTTCTTGGCTGTCTCAAAATGTCTTGTATTTGATTAGTTTAAATCAGGACCCAAACAATGTCCACAATGGTTGCGTTTGGCTAATATACCTCTAAAGCTTATTTTAATAAACTTCCTCCCTTTTTAAAAATGACATTTATTTATTTGTTTGTTGAAGAAATCAGGTCATTTGTTCTGTAGAAATTCTCATCTAGAGCCTTGTTTGGATTCAAGATTAATTTCACACACAGACATACAATTTTCTTTCGGCAAGGATATTTCTAGGTGTTACTGTGCACTTCGTATTGCATTAGGAGGCACGTGACATTTGTCTCCCTTTTGGTGACGTTACTCTTGCCCAGTGACTTCAAGTGTTGTCGATCTGATCCATAATTACAAAGTGCTTCAATTTTCATCTAGTAATTATTAGCCACTGGTAACAGTTGGCTAAATCTATGATTTCATCAGGGGTTGCAAAATAGTGATCTTAAAGTTCTATCATTCTTTTGCATTTATTAGCTGTAATTCTATAAAGAAAAAAATTCTTTCACCAACTATATGGAAACCCTAAAATACAATTCACACTAAAAAAGTTGGATAAGTGCAGGTTTCTTTTACTGAACTTAATCCACTTTTAGCATATGAGTGGGAGTCCTATTAACTTCCACTGGTGAGCGATGAGTTTCCTCCAACCCACTCAACACTCCTCCGCAAGGTCACCAGTGGTCCAGAAGGACCAGAATGGGATAAGATGGGATTGCGCACGTCAATGTATGGTGCAGGGATTTAGGGTAGGAAGGGATTGGATCAGGACAGAATACCTTAAACAGGTTCTAGGAGGTAGAATCTGAATCTTCGGAGCTGTTCTGGACTTCGGTGCTCTCCGCAGACTCGCTGGGTTCCTTGCTGTCACTGCCACTATCATCAGCGGCGGGGTTCTTCTCCTCCTGACCACCCGCTTTGGAACTAGGAAGTGTGCTTCCCTGGGTTTCCTGGTTTTCCCTGGAGCCCAGCACCACATACCCGCCCTTCTTCAGCTCCAGCTGCCTTCTCAGCTCATCTGCCATCTGTGAGAGATCCCGCTTCATAGCATAGGCATCTTCCCCATCTGCATAGTATTTGGGTTCCACCTCACTAACCTGAAAGTTGAGGGTGTTAGAATAGAGGTGCAAAGCTGCTCGGTTACTCTTCCTGACGTGCAGGGACACGTACTTGGCGTTAAAGTTCTCTATCATGGCCCGGGAGGCCTGGTCCATCAGCTTCTGGGCCAGGCCGAGGCGCCGGTGTGAACGCTTCACCGCCAGTGAGGTGATATGTCCATGGGGGACGTCATCTGGGTCCTCCTCCATTTTGGCCAGGACGTAGCCCACGATCTTCCCGTCCTCGTCCTCAGCAATGTAAGAAAGCTGGGGCCAGGAAAGGCCGTGGTAGAAATAGTATTTCATCTGGTAGTTCTCAGGAAGGCAGAGAAGGTTGCAGTGCTGCATGTTAATCAGGTCATCTGGCCGAGCATTGCGGATGTTCATAATGGCGGCGGGTAGCAAATGGGGATCCGGTGGTGATGACCGGGAAGGAGGCTGCCACCAAGCACAAGAGTCACTTTTTGCCTGGGGAACTTGGTCCAAGGGGCCGAAGTCGTGAGGCCAGACGCTCTAGACGCGGGAAGGTGGGACGACCAGGAGCCGGAAGGGGCGGTGCTAAGATGCGGCTTTCGGAAGTGCGCCACCTACTCCCAGCCAATGAGGTTTTCATGTTAGTGTGTGGGTGCGCGCGCAAGGTTTAGGGGGTGGGGACGTGGAGTTCATTGTGAGCTCCTTGGTTTTAAATGTACTGTTTCGTCTGTTGCTGTCACTATTCTTTTGTTTCAATTATAACTTCTTAATTTGGATACATCTGGGTAAACTTTGGCGAACTGAATAAACCCATATAACCAGAATGTAGACCGAGAATCAGAATATTGCACACACCCCAGGAATTCCCACTCAGATCCCCTTCCAGTACCCATCACCCAGATTTCTCTGGTTACTCCAGTAACCGTCACCCAGATTTCTAACAGTCTCTGTATAAATGGAATCATGGTGCATACACTCTTTCTCTGTTGAGGTTTTTCCCACTTTATTCGTTTCAGCTACCTTGTGTGTAGTTGGGAGTTCATTTTCTTTCCTGTTTGATATTCTATTGCCTGAATATGTCACAATTTATTCATCCATTCTACTGTGGTGGTTTGTATTATTTCCAGTTTGGGAATACAGTGAGTAGTGTAGCTAAATGTTCTAGAACATGCCTTTTGTAGAAACATGCATATTTACCCAGGATTAGAATTACATAATATCAGAAGATATTATGATGTTCAACTTTTATAAATACTTTCAAGCAGTTTTCCAAAGTGGTTGCTCTGTGACCGAACCCAAATCTGTCTGACCCATGTGCAGCAAAGCCAATCGCTGAGACATCAGTTATGCAGCAAGGAAAGTTTATTGGAGAAGCCGCTGAATAAGGAGATGGGAGGACAATCCTCAAATTTGCCTGCCTAGGGAGGAAAGAACAAGTTTTTTATAATCATAGGGATTAAGATTTATGCACATTGATGAAAAGGGCAGGGAAACAGGAGGAAAGATGGAACATGTGCATTGAACAAACGTATATGTAACATATCTCATGTTCACTTTGGGCCTGGAGACAACATCAGAAGGAGGCTAAATTCAGCTCCTGAGATCATGAGGTTATCTTAAGACAAGGAGAAGGGGCTATGGGCATGCTCTAAGAGCAGCTGTAAACTAGATGATTCTTGGGCTTGTTATTTCAGGTAAGAAATACAGGGCCTTGCTTGTTCCTAGGCTGGACCCAGTTGACCTTGAGTCCAGGCTTCCTGAGACAGCTAGTGGATTTGTTAGTGGAGTCTGAAAAGACACAATAGCTGATTAGGGAGAAACGGTTCTCTGAAAAACAAGCTTTAAACTTCCTGCTAGTTTCAACCTTGTCAACCCAGTGGGGCATGGTTTTAGTTCCACATTCTCATCAGCATTTGGTATTTCCCCTCTTTTTCATTTTATCCGTTCTTGTGTGTAGGTAGTGGTTTTATTTGGCATTTCCCTAATGACTAAAGAAGTTGAACACTTTTTTTACATCTTTCTTAGCCATTCTTTGTTCTTTTTTGTGAAATGGTTATTTAAGTCTTTTGTTCATGTTTCTATTAGGTGTATGTCTTTATCTCATTAATGTTTAATAGTTTTTTTATGTTAAATTCCAGTTAGTTAACATACAGTATTATATTAGTCTCAGGTGTACAATATAGTGATTTAACTATTCCATACAACACCGTGTGCTCATCACAAGTGCTCTCTTAATCCTCAACACCTATTTAACCCATCCCCCCACTGACCTCCTCTCTGCTAACCATCAGTTTGTTCTCTATAGTTGAGTCTGTTTCTTGGTTTGCCTCTATTTTTTTTTTTTTTGCTCATTTGTTTTGTTTCTTAAATGCCACATATGAATGAAAATCATATGATGTTTATCTTTCTCTTACTGACTTATTTCACTTAGTATTACACTATCTCCGTCCATGTTGTTGCGAGATTTCATTCTTTTTTTATGTCTGAATAATATCCCATTGTGTATATATACCACATCTTCTTTATCCAATCTGTCAATGGATACTTGGGCTGCTACCATAATTTGGCCATCATAAATAATGCCACTATAAACAAAGGGATGCGGGGTGCCTGGGTGATGCAGTTGGTTAAGCAGCCAACTCTTGGTTTTGGCTCAGAGTGATCTCATGGTCCTGAAATCGAACACTGCATCAGGCTCTGTGCTCAGCACAGAGTCTGCTCGAGATTCTCTCTCCTTCTGCCCCTCCCACTCGTGCTCTCTCTCTCAAATAAATAACTCTTTAAAAACAAAAACAAACATGGGGTGCATGTATACCAATGTTTTTATATTTTGGGGGTAAATACCCAGTAGATCAATTCCTGGTAGTTCTATTTTTAATTTTTTGAGGAACCTCCATGCTGTTTTCCACAGTGGCTGCCCCAGTTTGTATGCCCATATCTTCACCAACACTTGCTATTATGTTTAATAGTTTTTAAAAATATATATTCTGGATAAGAATCCTTTGTCAGATACATTATGGTGAATAGCATCCTACTCTACTCTAATTGTTGATTTTTCACTCTCTTAATTGTGATTTTTGATACCAAGTAGGACTTTTAATATAGTCCATTTTGTCCAGTTTTTAGATTTTATGGTTACTGCTTTTTGCGTCCTGTTTAAGAAATCTTTGCCTATTCTAAGGCCACAGAGATGTTCTTCTATGTTTTCTTCTGAAAGCCTTACTGTTTTTACATTTTATATTTAGATATCCATTGGAATTTATTTTTGTGTAATTTGTGAGGTAGAGATTCAGCTATTTTTTGCTGTATGGATATTCTGTTCATCTAACACAATTTTTGGGAAAAAAATCATACTTCCTCCACTGGATTGCATTGTTGCCCTTGTCATAATGTAACTGAACCCAAGTTCATCTGCTAGATGCACAGCAAAGACATCATTGTGACATTGAGCTATGTACCAGGGAAAGGGTTTATTTGAGAGGCAGACAAATAAGGAGACAGGAGAGCAAGCCTCAAATCTGGCTCTCTGGAGGAGCAGGAGGAGGAGAATCTGGAAAATTTAAAGGCAAATGAAAAGGTCTGAGTAAAAGTTGCATCTGGTTTAGCAGTCTGCAACTGAGATTAGTCCCTTAACCTTTTGGTTACTGGTTTCAATAAATCCTAAATTGCATTTCTAGATACATTAAGAAATTTTTATGCCATCCTGATAAAGCAAGATTTGGGGTATTTCTTTGATAGTGTAAAGAAGTCACATTTTATTAGCACCACTTATACATAAGCTGGCTATAAGCCCTAGAATTATCTATATATTTTGTACAACTTCCCTTTCCAATTTTCTAGCATATCATTCCACTTGGGGACTCAAACACCAAAGTTTATTCTGTTGTAATTTGGTCTCTTTTCTTATATCATCAGCCAGGTCCTACTTATATCTAACTCATCTGCAATATGTATGTGGCATTTCTTCCAATGAAGGTATACAGGTCTTTCCTAGAGCCATGTGATTTGTGAAACATAGCTTGAGTAGCAATTATTTTGGTTGTAATTTAGCAGTTAGCTCTGTTTTTACTAAAAAGTTTTTAAGATTTAAGATAAGATTTTAGTTTCTTGATGTTTTGATCAACTCTATACATTATTTCCCAGTATTATTCCCATCCAGAAATTTCTGTTTTATGTTATACCTCATTCTGTGGACAGGGATATGTGCCTTGAGATGATATAGCTCTAAAAACAAACCAGAAGAGTCAGTTGGTTGATTGTTTTATAATAGGTTCTTCTGAAAAGGGCATGAATTACCAAAATGTGAGTACATTGTGTTCTTCTATAGGAACATTGTGTCTTTACGGGACTTCCTAAAATATAAGCTTGACAAGTGGGTTAAGTGTGACAAAATAGACCAACTCACACCGAATTAAACTCACACATAAATTATTTATCTATCATTGGTACTGTCATCTCTTTTGTTTATTCTACTCCTTCCATGGGCCAGGAAAGCAAAATGAAGAAGACCCTTGAACTCATACCTTTGGGAAGAAGAGGCACCTTATTAATGAGTAGGTCTTGTGTGTTTGATTGGTTCTGTTTAATCCTGAATCTGAGGCCTAATCTTAGAGTAAGGCAATAACAAAAAGAGTCTTCAGAGGCAACTAGTTGGACACAGAAAGGGGAAATAGCTGTTACTTTGGTTGCAGTTTGAACAAAGCATTTCCATGCCTGAGTTGTTTGGAGAGCAACACAGCTAATAACAGCTATATTATAAAGGAATTGTGTGACATATAATAGATCATCAGTGAATGAACAAATAAGTATTTTTTATACTTACTGAGGTGATAAACTCCCATTGTTTCTTCCACTGTCCACGATCATAAACAACACCAAAGATTATAGATTCAGTCATATGGGTGAGCAAGAATCAATAGCAAAGAAAAATGTTCTACTTTCTCATGTTACTACATATTCCAAACCCACCTTTTTTCTGGCTAGTGACAGTGTATATCTACATAAGATATGAGATTAACAATTTTGAAAAAAAAGTTTTTGAAGTTAGCATTGAGTTTGTGGGCAATGGGCAGTGGCCATAAGACAGTCATGAAACTCCCCTTGCATTGAAGCAGAAGCAAAGAGGCTGGGTTCAATATAAGCCTAGCTTTCTCTGTTGGCAAAGAAAAATAAAATATTTTTTTTAGACTGGCATTAGAATGTGATTGTGTCTTTAGGAATTCTGTGACTATGTGGGGAATAGCTCGAGTCAGAGAGGTGCTTTAGACCAAAGTAGAGGAAGCCTCAATCAGAATAGGAGCTGCAGACAAGAACCGAGTCAGGGCAGAACTGACTCGCATCAAGTAATGGGCCATTCTTTGTCTTCATGAATCTGTCTTCACACTTAAACTGGTCTCTTTTTCCTCGTAGCACAAAAACATATG